TAGTATTAACAGAATAGAACAAGTATCAATAAGATCACTAATAGTATTAGGCCCTAATCCTATGTGCAGGTAGTAATATAGATTTGCTCGTGGTTCATGGAAACCTCTAAGATCTAATAGGACTTGGTCAACCATAGCAGGCACATTCACTGATAGACTCCTGCCAAAGAAACTGAATCAGAAGGAAGGGATTGTGAGATAGGACTGCATTGGAGAATCTGGAGATAGATTTCCTGGACTTCTTTGAGCTGGTGGTGGATCAGTAATCACATAGTTATCATACTTCAACCAACTGAGGATATAGATAAAATAATAAACCACAATGAAAGTTATAAGGAATGGAGCCACTCTTAAAACAATCAGCTCTAGAAATCCCACTTGGAGGCCTGTAGGCTCCTACCAGGCCTGATAGGCTTCAGCAGGCCGGTTGAGTTCAGCCTATATTCGCCTAGGCTCATCATCAGAGCAGCCTGCCTTGGCACAGCCTATGGCCTATAGACCGCCCTATCACTGGCCTAGCCCGTTGGGAACACTGGTGACCTTAAATGGCTTTAAATCCTCGGGAGCGTAGCTAGCTGTGGGGGACGAAACTTTCCTCGGTGGCTGAGTCCGGGACCGCTATATCGGTGGGAAACCTGCATCTTGGAGCAATTTGAATGTTTTTTTGTCACCGAATACGATTACGAGTCTCGTAGAGTTAGGGACTGGATGGAAATCTGTATATAGGAAATGATAAGTACTGTACTCGTGGTTTGTATTTTTTTGTGAATTCTGTTCACCGGAATATCTTGGTGCGAAATCTCCCCTTTTTGCGCTAAGCATTGCGTGTGCCCACCCACGTTTTTTTTTCCCGCCTACTGCACGGAAATTGGAAACGCTCCGTTATCACGAGAGTTGGTCGAGTCGAGATCACCTCAGCTCTCCACGACACAACACAACACAACATAATCGCTAAATTTAATTATGATACCTCCCATCCAAACCTCCAAGACAGTCTCACCACATCTGACCTTCCCCACTTCACTTACTGATCTCCCTTGTCTTAGGCACGGCCCAGTTGTCACTATTCGGAAAGTCCTCCCTTTGGAAGGTGCCTGTATCTTACACCCGCATTAATCGATCGGTAAAGCTGTTATGCTCCGGTTTACAGCTGATGATCGGGGGCTATAATACTTGAAGGTTGGACGGTGCCTGCGCGTCTAGATAAAAACGGGTTTCGGCAGGCGGGATTGGCAATGAGAACGCCGTGATGCGATGAGGTTATTAGGGAGATTCTCTGTAGAATTGCATAAAGCGTGCTCCTCTTTAATTCTAAGGACCTTTCTCTTTGGCTGAGTATTGGTATTTGGTAGAGGAAAATGGGGTTTGGGTACACCTATACTCTCAACTATCTAGAGTTGTTTCATGGCGATCCGAGCAGAAAGAGGTTACATGGTGCTGCACAGTCGGTGGGATACAAGCATTCCAGTAGCTTCCGGTGCCCATGGCCTACTCCTTATCATCTGAGGGGTATTGGTACCAGTGCCTAAATTTACATAAGCACTTGCTCAATCAAAGGACGGGGCTCGTGGCGATGGAGGGGGGGCGAATTTTGGGCAGCTCTGCAGAGAATTTTCCGCGATAGGCTCGCCTTTATATGGTGTGTTCATTCATCAGTGTGTCTGTGAATCCAGTTGGTGAAAGGGATGACCTCAGATACCGGGCACCACCCCACCTTAAGTAACACCAAACGCCCGGTCCAGGTGGAAAACCGGATACTTGCGGGTGGAGCAGTACTCGCCTGCAAGTTCGGAGCGAAAGGTACTGCAAAGCTATGAGCTCAAAAGTATCCGAACGAAATCCGGCAGTAGGAGGGTATCCTGGTACAATAAAACTCGATTGTGGGGATAGTACCTGTTTGCTATCCGATTTTGTTCGGATACCTCTGAATCCCTGCATTATGTAGGGCTACCGGCACAGCACAGCACAGCACAGCACAGTACTGTGCAAGGGTATGATAAGTGTTTCTACTTATTGGACGCTATGTTTTGGCCGGGGCGAGGCGAGATTGTTATGGCTGGGCGTCATGATGGTGGGGATGTGCCCGAACCGCGGTGGTTAGGTGGCTGTTGGGATGGAAGGAAGGTGTCAATTAAAGGCCACGAGATATCACCATTTTGGGGGGCCCCGTGCCGGCGGAGAGGTAACCCTCCTGATCTCTCCTCTGCCTCTATTAGCCTATGGTATACTATCAACTCTCGTGTAGGACGCCGAACGTATCTCTCCCCGGGATTCTCTACACTACGGCATACGCAAGCACTATATGGTAGATAACCTATCTTTCATTCCTAGGTTCTAGGGCTGCTGTTTGCCTTGCTGTCAACTCCCCGGTTCGAAACTGCCGCCGGGACGATCACTATTCATCACGAATGATCACTCGAGTGTTACTTTTATTAATGTATCACCACCAAATACTCTCTCGAAATTTACCGTCTTCACCGGAAGGTTGTGTTTCCTGGGCTGACAAATGTAGAAATCACGCACCGCACGATATGGCGTCTGCCCACTGTAATCGGGACTTTGGGAAAGGGTTTTCGGGGAAGCAACCCTTTGAAGTCTATCTTCATATTCATGGATAGGGTCACCGGGTACGGCCGCGGGAGTTGTTGTGATCGTGCTCAAGTTTCCCTTTCTAGGGCTCTTCCTCGGGATTGAGTTGGCGGGCTGGAAAGGTTAGTTGCGTAGATAAGTTTCCGTCCCCCTGCTACAGACCTAGTAGGAGATTACTCAAATTAGTCATCCAATTGTATGCTAGGGACAGCTCCATACCGTAGCATAAGAGTTTTGCTTCCATGGAGAGCAGAACACCACCTCCTCATCCAGCTCCTACCCCACACACACCGATCCCGGCGGATTGATTTCATGGCCGGTAACAAGGATATCCTCTGAGTTATGCCGACCCGTTCTCCTTCCTGTTTCGTCTGGAACTATGATACCGGTACCTATGATACTGACAAACTGCTTAGTTAAACCGATACTCCCCGGCCTGGAAATCGCGGTCCCTTGATTTCACCGCACCCGGGGCACTACGATGTTTTTACTCCCCGCACGTCTGCCCAGCCTCGTCTCCTATCCCTAGCGTCCCCGTCAAACAAACCAATGCCTAAACTTGTTCTGACAAACCCGAAATGTGCCGTCTTTCCGCTACTTTGCTCTAGACACGAGCGGAGGGGGTAGGACCTAACGTACTGTGGCCGGGTAGCTACCTCTCTTGAAGGGAGCAAATGAATATTATGAAGTAAAACAAGTGTTGTGCCCGGCACTTGATAATAGTTGATATCAACCAAAAACCAACACATGAATAATCCTTCGAAATTTCTCGGCCGCAACCGCATCTTTGGGAAAATGTGGCCCCACGGAAGCGCTCACGAAGCACTCCTCTATACTTCCCTGCGCTCTCAATCCCAGTTAGATCAATATTGGTAGAGCCAGGAAAATTTCGAATTACCCATGCACGGTGGTCCAGAAGCCACACAAACCCCATCCCAACATTTTGTATGCACGATCGTACAAAGCACGGCGCAAGGCCGAATTACGCATGACTGTTATTTCAAGCGCCCAGGACCACACCACAGGAGGAGCTACTGTGGATTACTTGGGCCTTGGCAGGGTCAGCGCTGACGGGTTTATGCAGTAGTCGAAGCGACAGCAGTGGTTTGTCTTCATTGTCGGGGATGGATGAACGAGCGAGCCACAGGGGAGGAGTGATGCAGGGTTGGCCGTCGGGAGTTTAGGTTTGCCTGGCTGGCCCCGGCCGGACAAAGATTCGACCGCTTTTAAAAAAAGCTCCGCGGTAAAAATGTCCGTCCTTATTACCGGTAAACTGATTAGCTGTGGGTGAAATACTGGCGCTGTAGGGGGAAGCCGATCGTAAGCGGAGTGGGTCGACCGATCCCATCATATCTGTCCGGGTTCAGTACAGTACAGTACCCTCACGGTCATGTCAGTGATGTTTTCCTATGATACTTGTGCGGTACTCTCATCGGGGATTCAACCCCATCGAGTCGTATGGCATCGAACTGAATTCCAACAAGGGGATCCAAATAGGGAAATTCAACTGAAATATTGTTGAATCTCATCCATATACACAACTCTACAGACTAATGAGTTTGGATATGATTTTGAAAGCAGTATTGAAGGAGTTGTTCTTTATTCAGTATCTTTTTAACTTCGTAGCCTATGGGAGTAATAATCAAATAATAAATATATAGCATATCTGGATATTTGGAAATGAATATTTGAGCTACTAGTATAGTTAAGATTGAATATTGAATATGGTTTTAACAAGACTAGTGATTTTTGAGAAAAACCAGTACTAACACATATGACTTCTCAACTACTGTGAGATAGCAAGAGTTGATTTATGAGAAAGTTTACTCTTACATTTAGGGAAATTATAATGGTATTATATATTGTATAGTAATTCAAGGTACTCTTTAAGTTAGTTGTTAATATAAAAAAAAATACAATCTTCTCTAAACTATTTTTTCATTACCTTAATAGGGGATATAATAATATTATTATATAAACAGTTTCAATTTATATCAGAATAATGAATATATTCTAGTTGTATGATTTTATATTAAAATTAACTTTTAAATCAAATTTTAATCATACTATTTAACTTATATTTAATGTAAACAGTTGAAATATGACTACTTGATAATTATTTCTGGCATTTCAATCATAGGTTTCAAGTCTAAAACAAGGTCAAACCATAGTTAACTTGTTTTATCTTATTGTTTGAAGAATACTATTTTCTCTGATAGTAGTTTTCAAATATGGTAGCAGATCACTTTACAAAAAAGCCACAATGTTTCTAGAATGATATATTAGTGTTTCTACCTCAATATATTGAGTTTAAAATAATATGAAGCATAACCAGACTCATATATCCTAATTCATGATCAGCACTTTTGAGTCCACATTATACCAGTAGTGGTTTTTGTCAAAAGTTGTATCAAATTATTCCCTATCTACACCTCACTCTTAGAAGCATATAGTGCCAATAGCATATTTTCCCCCTAGTATCGCTTCGGATTCCATTTCACACAAGCTACTATATTCTCTGCCGGTACGGGTGATTTTTCTTTGTTTATTTACAACCTCCCTAGCTCTTTATTAATAGGTTTTGATGCAGCTAATGCAGGACCCTGTCGCCATCCCGGGGTACAGAAACTTCACGGACATGGCTACATAAATAAAATAAGTGATTTTCAACTACAGCATAAACAGCGAGCTTAGGGAGGAACTATTTCAACTCATCCTGCTCTTCTCTCTTAGCTCCCCTTTTTTCACCTTTTTTCCTTAGTGACACAAACTTCAGCCGCACTAAGCTAATTTACGTACCATACCACAGCCTCACGAGCCAACGTACAAACCAGCAAACCCTACGCCATGGCAAACTCGATAGATATCGATATCGACAAGCAGATATCTGAGTATTTAAAGAAGAGGGAGGCGCTGGTTGCTAAAGAGAAAGAGTTACGCCATGGTATGCCTTCCCCAAATGAACCTCTCATGTCATCCATCTGATGTTTGTACGCTCCAGACTATAAATTCAGAAAATCCCTCTCACCAACCGCGAAACGTGCCGCGGCGATAGTCGCCCGGATCAGACAGCACGAAGCAGAGACGGTATGGACGAAAGAAACCGAGGAGGAAGAAGGGGACGTATACCCCGGTATGATGTTCACTCTCGCCAAGGACCGCATGGAAAAGACTGAGCTATGGAGGATTGTGAAGAAAATGCCCAAGGGGTGTTTGTTACATGCTCATTTGGAGGCCATGGTTGATAGTATGCCTTTTTCCCTCCCACCTCCGCTGCTGTGGGATGTTGAGTTGCTAATAGAGGATTAGTGGATTGGCTGTTTGACGCTGCGCTGAATACCCCCGGGTTCCATATATCTTCGGATATTCCTCTTACTACGCCGAAGGCATTGGGGAAGGCGAATATCCAGTTTACCTATTGTGCTACGACCCCGAAGGTGGCCGAAGGGCTTTGCTCGTCGCAGTATGAACCTAGAAGTCTAGTCCCGGTGACTGAGTTTGCAGATTCGTTCCCGGCGGACTTGCTCCCGAGCGAACCTTTGGGAAAAAAGACTCCCCGGGAACGCTTCCTAGAGTGGATTATTGCCCGTACTACAATCACTGCCGAGGAAAGTTTGAGGCACCACGAGGGGATAAACATGATTTGGGCGAAATTTCAGAGTATTTTCCTAGTTGTTCAAGGGATTATCAACTATGAGCCGGTTTACCGACAATTCGTATTACTCCCTTTAGCCCCCGGACTACCTAGACTACACTGACATTTACAGTTCTGGAACATCCTCCACCATCTCCACCAAGACGGCATTCTATGGGTCGACCTCCGCGTAGCTTACCCAATAACCTTCAGAGCCGCCGAAACCGGTGCCATACTCACAAGCGCAGACGCCGTAAAAGTCTCCTCGGAAGTAATCGAAGCCTACAAGTCATCCCTAGAAGGCAAGGGCTTCTGGGGTGCCCGCATTATCTGGACTAGCATCCGCCGGTTCGACCAAGAGGCAATAATAGCCAGCATGAAAGAATGCGTAGAAGCCAAGAAGTTATACCCGGACGTGATCGCAGGCTTTGACCTGGTGGGACAAGAAGACCTCGGACGAACTCACCTAGAAATGCTCCCAGAGTTATTATGGTTCAAAGAGTACTGTAAGCAACAGCACGTTGATCTCCCGTTCTTTTTCCATGCCGGAGAAACACTGGGCGACGGAAACGGCACTGACGGGAACCTCTTTGACGCGATACTACTCGGCACCAAACGCATCGGCCACGGTTTCTCGCTGCACAGACATCCACACCTCATCTCCCTGGTTAAGCAGAACAACATATGCGTTGAAGTCTGCCCCATATCGAACGAGATCCTCCGCCTAACGTCGTCGATCCTCTCGCACTCGCTACCGGCAATGCTAGCGCATGGCGTCGGAGTGTCGCTTAACAACGACGACCCGGGAATCCTAGGACAGAAGACTACAGCAAGCGTGACACACGATTACTGGCAGGTGCTACAGGCGTTCGATAATGTTGGTTTGGAAGGACTCGGAGATATGGCGTTGACAGGGGTGAAGTTTGCTGCCTTCGAAGGTGGAGAGGTGGGTGTTATGGAGGGGCCAAGAGTTCAGAGGGTGGAGGAGTGGCGGAAGAGGTGGGAGGTGTTCTGCGAGTGGGTTGTGGCGGAGTTTGGCCATTGGGAGGGGAAGTAGGATGAGTGACTGGAGGTGATTGGAGGGGGGATCATACAACCTCGTCATGTGCGAGTACACTATTTTTCTTTTGATATCCTCACAAGATGGGAGTAAGCGTAGATAATAAACGAATGACTGCTCAACCATTCCACTTGTTCGGTACGGATGTGATTTACGGCAGGGGAAGGTCCGATTACCCCGCCGGCAAAACATTACACAATTTCAACGCCCCTCTAGGATTTTCAACCGCCGCTACGATGGGAATTATGGCCCCACCAGATGATAGAGCGACCAACCTTTTCTTGTTAGTCCTAGGTACACTGGGTAGTAGTGACTGGGAGCACCCAACGACAGCGGAGTAGTCGACAAAACGTAGATATGCCAAAGAGCTTAGAATAAGGTTTCCAGTCATCGAAAGTGTGTACGGAACTCTCAAGTCAAAAGGGTGTATTTTCGCGGCTATTTGTCCCTGTTGAATGAGCTCTTTTTTTTTTAGTATTGTTTTCACGAGAGTTGGTGGGTTCTTACGCTTAACGTGGGTGGCTGCGGAAACCACTCTTTTTTTTCGATTTCTCAAAAGGGTCCAAGATATTGAAAAATTCTGTACTGTATAATACCGGTATTCCCTCGTTCCTTGAATCTCTATCGCTTTTCTCTGGACTATACACATGACGATGCGATAATATGATTCGAGTAATGAACCATGTTCGGATATTTCGGGTTAGATTAGATTATTTCCATCAGGGGAGTACCGTAGGGAATTTACCGATCTCGAGGATGTTTTGCTGCGTTAGCTACGGACCGACTTGGGGGGGGGGGGGGTACAGTAAGGGACCGCAGTTAGTAAGATGTACAGTATCCCGGGTCCCCACACATCCGTGATACTCTGTTCTACTAAATCTACATCTATAGAAAGAGCGCGAGAAAGGATGCGGAAGTTGAGGGGGGCAATTACCGAGAGAGGGTGACAGGAATGAGGTCTCTAGAGTGATTTGATAGATCTAGCCCTCTCATGCTATGATAGATAGTAGCACGGGCGGAAACACTTGAATTAGCCTAATCACTCAGTTTGCAGTGCGCCGCGCCCAGAAGATCAGCAAGGGTGCAGTGCTGTACAGTACCGGTACTTGGTTGCGCCCTTGCTCCACGCATTGCGTGCAGAAGCGTAAAAGGTTTTGGTGCCATAGTTGCGGGGTTTGCCAGGAGAATAGCAGATACTGGTATTTCTGGGCGTTTAATAGAGTATGGAATGGGTTAGGTTTCCTAGGCATAAGGAGGTTCTATTAGAGGAGAGGCAAAGCGCGCCAGATCGGAAGATGATCACCACCGGCACCGCCGGCATTTGTTTCACGCCCGTTAGTTACCGTGCTACGGCGTAGTCTACCGGTAACTTACATACTGTAATACAGCGCATCCCACCTCCCCGCAACCCCTCTTCCCCAGGCTACTGACGGCCCCCGACAATTCACGGACAGCTTGCAGACCCGTCTCACTGAACCCCACCCGCCATCCATGTTTCGGCGAGTCATCTCCTCTCTTGCCTCCATCTCTCCATTCTCCACTGCAGCCTCTGCCAAATCGGTCATGACATCATCACCACTTAGACGCCCAGTCAAACTTGCGCTTATCCAACTTGCTACCGGTATCTCTCTCCTTCTTCCCTCGCGCGAGGTCTGTATTTTGGCTGAGAGTATTTGAAACAGGAAGCGACAAGGACGTCAATCTAAAGCGGGCATCCGAGAAAGTGGCCGAAGCTGCGAAGAATGGGGCAAACATCGTTGTTCTCCCGGTACCTTCCCGCTTCAAATAGATCCATCCAAAATCTCCCACAATTAACGAAAGTCGAACAACGAAAACAGGAATGCTTCAACTCACCCTACGGCACGGAGCACTTCCCAAACTATGCCGAGCCGATCCCAACTCCGACGCGGACCTTCCCCACCTCCGAAACACCCTCCTACACAACCCTTTCAACACTCGCCTCCACTCACAAGATCTACCTGATCGGGGGTTCAATCCCAGAGCTAGACCCCGAAACCTCAGAGCTCTATAACACCTCATTGACATTCTCCCCGACCGGCACGCTCCTGGCAACCCACCGGAAGATCCACCTTTTCGACATTGACATCCCCGGGAAAATCAAGTTTATAGAATCCGACGTGCTGAGCCCCGGTTCAACGCCCACCTTGGTACAGACCGAGTACGGGTCTATAGGATTAGGCATCTGCTACGATATCCGCTTCCCTGAACTTGCCATGATCGCAGCGAGGAAGGGCGCCTTCTTGATGCTTTATCCCGGAGCGTTCAACATGACTACTGGTCCCCTGCACTGGGAACTGCTGGCCCGTGCCAGAGCTGCCGATAATCAGGTTTATGTGGGCGTCTGCTCTCCAGCGAGGAGGAAGGAGGAGGACGGGGAGGGCTATACCGCCTGGGGACATAGCATGGTTGTGGACCCCAATGCAGAGGTGGCTGTAGCCACGGAGGAGAAGGAAGGGATTGTGGAGTGGGTGTTAAAGCCGGAGAGGATTTCGGAGATTAGGAAGGGGATTCCGGTTACCGGACAGAGAAGGTTCGATGTTTATGCCGACGTGGCGGTTGCTAGCCCGACAGAAGGGGTTGAGGTGTGAATCAGCTGCTGAGGGCTAGGGGCTTCACCCATCTAACTCTTTTGGTTGGGGGGAGGAGCTGTTACTATGGCACCGGAAGGAGACTCGATGGGATATTAAATCTCAATACCTGATAAATAAATAAATAAACAAGTGAACTATTTCATGGGATCATCGCACTGCTGACGTGCTCGTGTACAAGTATATTCAAAAACCAATCCTCGGAAAGGATACGGAAAATAATTAGAGCCGATCGTGATACGGACCATCGGCACGGCAATTGGCCCGTCCGTTTCACCGGGAGAGGCGATGCGCACCGTTGAAGAAGTGCACCACTGTACGAGTGCCGGGAAATTCTCCTAACAGTTTGGATGCCAATCCTCGTGCCCGGTGTTGACTCATATACGATTGCCAACTATGGTGGAGTACTTTGCCAGGAAAACATGCTCAACTTCAAGCCCCCAAGGCTTTTCAACAACTGCTCCGGTGGGAATTAGGGCTCTATTAGATGATATGGTAGGTGATCGTCTACACATTAACACAGAGAAAACCAAATATCTCAAGTTTTCATAGAGTTATCGAGCCTAAAGCAGGGCGAACTCTTGCCGGGAGAAGGGGACGGGAATGTCCGGAGGACGTTAATTACTGTTAATTTCCTTGGTACTGTACAACCGGTCAACCTGGGTGGAGCGCGCCCCTGACCATCGAGACAACCCATAGACCGAAAATCCCCCTATACTCGCCCTACGACAAGCCGCGACGCGGAAATGCCCTTCACCGCCCTCCCCAATGAGCTTCTCCTCCAAATCTCATCCTATCTTCACCCGCAACACCACTCCGCTCTAATACGGGTGAACCGTCGCCTGCATAGTACTCTTTCGGACGCGCTCATAGCATCCCTGTGCCAACCCTCAAGCGAGATCACCAGCAATGGTTCCAGCAGATGGGCCTCGAAGGCACTCTACTTCGCCCTTACATCTCAAGACGCGAGAATGGTGCAAAGGCTAGTCTCGCAGGGGGTCGCAAAGGTCGTTGGGAAATCCGTGGAGCTGAAACATATGTCGGGCAGCACCGGCAGCGATCGCGCGCTCCTGAGCGATGCGATCGTCACCTTGGAAAGCACCGAGGCGGTCAAGCTGCTGCTGCAGTGCGGCGTCAGCGCAGACACCAAAGAATTCATTTCTGGCTGGACACCGCTCTTCCGAGCCATAGAGCTTGGGAGCAGGGATATGGTGCGACTGTTTACCGATAGGGAGGACGTTGACCTTAATGCCCAGGACCACCGCTCCCTCACACCACTCTACATGGCGATTAGTTGGAACAAGGGGGGGGCTGTTCTAGCCTTGCTAGACGATCCACGGGTAGAGGTCAATCGACAGTACCAAAGAGGCACGGCGTTACATCTCGCTATCCGTTCTTACAACCTCGGCATTGTGAGGGCGGTACTGGACAGGCAGGAGATAGACGTTAACATTCCGGAGGAGCGTGGACGTACGCCGTTGCAGTTTGCTATCACTCAAGGGTTCGATAAAGCTGTTGAAGCGCTGCTTGGGCATCCGGGTGTAAAGTTGGACAGTCTAGACCGTGATGGAAGAACATTGCTGCACCTTGCTGCTACCATGCCAGGTACAGGCGAGATACTTCGGTTGCTTCTTGCACAAGAGGAGAGGCGGCTCCCCTCCGTGAATTTTCGGGAATTGGTGAGTGGCTATACGCCACTGCACCTTGCCGTCATGTCCAGGGAACCGGACATCGTGCGCGTCCTTCTTGCCGACTCGAGGGTTGATGCCAATGCTCTAGATGACGCCGGTATGACGCCTTTGTGTCGAGCTATTGGGGCCGGCCCTGGCGATATTTTTGAGATCTTGTTGGAAAGCGGGAGGGTCCATGAATCCCAGCATACCGGGCTGGGCGACGGGGCACAGGGTGCTATTGAGAATGTTATTTGATCGCCGGGGTAGCGATCTTGCAAGAGCGGTCCCAGGAACAGATATCGAAAGCCCCTCGGCTTATGAGTTTTTTTTTCTTTTCTTCTTCGTTTCCGAAGGGTTGGCCGGCTGGAGCGTGGCGCGCGCGGGGTTTAACTGTACCTACACTTCCAAACCGCCGCAAACACAGTATGATAGGGTTTTCACGTCCTACTGGTATATTAAACCACCGTATACTTAAAACAATACATTCCCCAGCCTAGACAGAGTCGGGCAAGTTCCCACCCAATGAGCACTTATCAACACTTACCCGTATCCATTCAAGATCGCGGAGAGTCTCCGATTATCAAAAAAGTAGAGACTATAGAATACCTGCAGAGCGGAGTAAGTGCTATCTGCTAGTAATCCATCAATCGACACTCCCGCACCGAACCTCACTCGCACCCTAACCATCCACCCAACAAAACCGACAGAAAGTATGATAATATCATGATAGTAACGAAGTAATAAAGGGGGGGGGATAGTCCATTCGAATCACCGATACCTCGCATGGGTACTGGAAAAGGAAGCATACCGGTATCTACAGTGTATTTTACCAGGCGCGGGACCAGGGCGGAGGGAAAGAGCATAAACTCACAAGTGCACTCGTACGAGTACAATGTTGCTAGGGGTCGCCACTCCCATCGACAACCCATCAGACCCCCGACAATTGTTGAGTTTCCTGCTGTAGACTCCATCCATTTGATAGGTCAATACACCAGCCGATTCTCAACTTTCATGAAATGGCTCTTGCCAGGATTGTCCCTGGGTGGGAGTAAAGAACCGGGTGGCCAAGCCTTGTTAACATACAGTATTAAAACCACCTGGTTTTACTGCGCAAACTCTAATAGAGTAGGTTTTGTTCCAACAGCCAGCGCTCTATACGAGTAACTTAGTGCTGACATAATCCAAGGAGATCAGACAGCTTATGTAAATGCTTATCTAATGACTTGTCCGACCACATCTCAAGAGTACGAGCAGACCACTATCCATGCGAGTGTCGATTTTCATGCTCACCGAACCGCGGCAGCTCCGATCATCCCACGGTACCCAACCACCATATTGAAATTCTTAGCTTCGACCTCAATAGTCTACAAGTTGTACCAGTTTCAAGGCTCGTAGACCACCAAGTGGGGACAGGAGAAAAAAAAAACCCCCCCGGCGAGGAATGGATCCGGCCTCGAGGAGATGTGTGGATGTCAACCTGGCGGATAGGAGGGATCGAACGCCACTGGCGTGGGCTATCTGCGAGGGGCATGAGGAAGTGGTGAAGCTACTACTAGGGCGAGAAGATGTTGACACCGAATTGTCGGACTGCCAAGGCATGTCACCGCTCACGTTGGCCGCGTCCATTGGGCGGGAGGGAGTTGTGGAGTTGCTGCTGGGACGAGAGGGCGTCAACCCGAAGATATCGGATGGAAGTGGTCTAACACCCCTGTGGTGGGCCGGCATTAGAGGACACAAGGGGATTTTCAGACTGCTGTTGGGGCGGAGAGCTGTCGACGCCGATAAGCGTGACAGCAGGGCCGAACAGCACTCATGATGGCTTCTCGCTGGGGCCATGAGGGGGTGGTGGAGGTGCTGTTGGAGCGAAGCGAGGTCGACCCCAATGCCCAAGACTACCGGGGCCGGACGTCACTCGCGTATGCTGCCCTGCGCGGTTTGGAGGGAATTGTCAAGCTTCATTTGGAGCGGGAGGATATCAACCCCAATATCCCAAGCGGCGATGGCCATACACCCCTCTCCTGGGCCACCGAGAATCAACGTTTTGGGGTTGTGAAGCTGCTGCAAGCCTGTGATTTCGCACCATGAGTCAATCCCACGGACGTATATCTTCCCGGAGTCTCCCACTTCGCAACACCCCCGGAAGCATACCGGTCCCCACGGCTGCTGCCCAGCGCATACCTTTCTCTAAGCGCCTCCCGATCATCTCGAGGGTAGGGTTCAATCCTGTAGACGCCCCGTCTTCCTCTCCCCGTTCCGCATTCGATTGATGAGCACAAATTCACGATCCCCCATCCAAAATAACCCGTGCACACCCGCCTGAACATTACCGAACCCCCACTAGTATCTACAAGCAAAGATGATCTATATATCTCTCAATTCTTCCCCCCCTCTTTTCATTTTCCTTGCATCCTACTTTCCTTCCGGTGACGGATCACGCATCCTTTCTATTTTTAGATTCTCCGCCCTACCCTTCCCTTGTCTTCTGTGAATGGTCATGCATGTATCTCAAGTATTTTATGTTAAGTTCAGATCAGGATTTGCCGTCAACGCAGCTGATATACCGGTACATGGAAGAAAGAAATGCACCCGAATCAAGAGCCATGTTTGTGTGGAACACTATCCCCACCCCGCAAAACGAGCACCACGGGATATCCGCTGTGCACCGAAGACGCACCTTAGTGCATTTAAAACAACCTCTGAAGACGCCAATAGTGACCCAACCAGTACCCGATGTGTAAAGTAAGAGTGATGAGGAGATAGGAACGGAAGGTAGGCACTCCCGATATCGGGGGCCATAGTTCATCAGGAACCCCCAGGGGATGCGAAAGAAATCTGGAATACGCAAGAGGGGGGGTATCAGGCGATAAAGAGAAGGCGGGTAAGGAAAGGGGGAAAACTTAAAAGAGGAAGTGGCAGTCACGTAACGGCCAGAGTACCGTAGATATGGCGAAAACTCGGTTGGAAAGATGAGTATCACAGCTTATCTCTTGTTCGAATCGACGGTTCGGCTGGTTATCGCGCCGTGGATGCGGCAGGCCCACTAAATTATAACAGTATCGTGCTGTGCTGTACTAGCACTGTAGTCTGTAGAGCAGGTTTTGTGCTCGGTAGTGTCTCGAGTATGATACAGTAGAGAGCTCTACGAGTACGATAGATTTCCAAGCCCCAAAGGGCTGGAGTAGTGCGCCTGTTATCATTGAGGTGGTTAACTGAACTTTTTTCAGGTTGGTGACAACTCTGGGCAACCCACCCAGCTGACGGATCAAAAATTTCGACCTAGCACGACAGACCTCTCGCATCTGGGGTGGCCGATAGAACATAGACTTAAAGGATCATAGAGGGTGAAAGGAGCGAACTACTTTAGCAAATGGATCAAATTTTGGGAAGCAGACGTGTCAATGCTGACACGGTAGATGTAGGGCGCTGAACCCCCCTCGTAGGCCTCCAGGCTACCAACGCTAACTACGTAG